TAATGTCAAAGCTCTTACAGAATAATTACTACAACATTTGAAATACGAAAAGTATTACATTAGAAGAAGATTAGATTAGAATAAGGATTCAACGTATTTTTAAAAGCTCTACACACACAACGAAGTGAATATACAAAACTATATACAAATACCTTTTTCTTCTGTGTTTCTGAAGAAAATTGTAAGTCAAATGAAACCTTGCACTTTGAGAACCATGTCACTTACTTTTCAGAGTCAAATTGATAAATTTTTTTTGTATATTTTAATGATATTTATTTCTCACTTGTATCTTGAATAATTAATATGTAATTTTTTATTGTATATTACGACAAATAATCAGTAAACTTTTTAAGCGTATAGCTTTATTGTAGTTGACCTGAGAACTGTACATTTATAAATTTTACTTAATATATACCCGTTTCGAGCAACAAGGCAAAGTTTTCTGATCAATAACTTACTCCCTGAAAATACGGTATAACACAAATCGGAAGTTGATACGAAAATTCGAAATTTTACTAAAAAAAGATTGGAGGTTTTTAATTTATACAATTTTCACAACTCTTATTTCAATTATTTATTCTACCCATCGAAAGTTTTTTGAGAGCAGGCCGCCATGTTATTTTTTTGAGTCATTAACAAATTGGTACTCTGGAATTACGAGCAATTATTTTTCATTGTACGGGCTAGTATGAATTTCAAATCAAATCTCTATAAACGACTATTATATTTTGTGCACTAAGAATAACATATCGCACTTATTTTCTAGAATCAAATTGTAATCAGTTTTACTTATATGTATGTATATTCAATGTGAACTTGCACCTTGAATAAAATATCACAGTTACTTTTCATGGTAATATATTATTACTAAATTTAGATAATATACACTTTACGTATGTTCACTTTGAACTGGCACCTTGAATAACATATCAGTTACTTTTCGTGATAATTTATTATTAGATCGTTTAAATTTTTGAGTACCTTCTTTTGAACATGGCCTGACCTTTTCATTTTTATGATTTTTTTAGGATATTTTTATCTGCGAACTTTTTGTTATTTTAATTTATCGGTATATTGTATAAAAAGGAATTTTGCAATAACCTGGCCAAAAATAAAATAAAAGACTACGCAAAAAATTGTTTTTCGAAACTGTGACGTGGCCTTTTTGCGCCCGTCACAAGGGCGGACGCGTCCGACCGGGAAGAGTCGGAAATGCTCCGAATTCTTGTACATTTTGCGGGCAAGCGGCGAATTCTTCGCCGACTCGCCACTACTCGGTAGCGAGAGTCGAGGTGGTGGGCCAGGAGTACTAAATTGTTTTAGAGAGAAGAGGACCCCGAGGAACTATGGGAGAAAGACCGTGATGCGCGAGGAACGGAGGTTGCGCGCCCGCCCCGATGAGTAACCGATATAATAAAGTTATACAAGGTCCCGAGTCGCATAAGGGGTAAATACTGCCGGAACGATCTTTAGAGCCTCGGAGAGTCGACCATCAGCAGTCCGAACAAGGGAGAAAAAAAGCGTCTGCATCCCTCCACGAGGATGACTACCCCTGAGAGGCCCGCCATCGCATTTCGGAAGAACCCAGGGGTCGTCCGGCACTGATCACCCCGGCAAGGCAAGGCTGTAACGAGGGTCACCCTGCGGCCGTACAAGATGCGAACGGAGCCGCCGAGGATGGAGTTGCGGCGACGAGACTCCCGAGGGCCGGATTCAAAGTTGGCGGCAGGAAATCCGCGACCAGCAAGACCAGTGGAAATCGATTCAAAGATCGATCAAGGGTCTGACGCGGCGCGCAACACCGCTAAGAGGCATGGCAACCGACCTGGATAGCGCGCGCAGCCCTACTTCTCCCCCGGCGTAGTTACCAACGTACCGCCGGCCCGAATCGGAATCATTGTTCGACGAGCCGATGTTCTCTGCGGATCAAGGATTCTCGACCTGCATCCTGCGGCAATAATCTCTTTTGTAAGGCCACCTTTTCGACTTCACAGTAAGCGCGGAATCGGCCGGGACCCGTGTGTCGATAAAGATTTTTCGCGCTACCGAATATATGAGCTCGTTGCAAATTAATTATCTACAGTCACCGAGAATTTCGTGTGATGCGCACGGGACTCGCGTCGAAATCCGCGTAATTAATTAATTGAGTAATTCTTCGCCTTCTTTGCCTCTCCGAGGGGCGCCGAAACGAGTCGACAATCATTGTAAAATCGTGAATTCGTTGTAATGTTAAATCGAGTCGTTTGTGTAAGGAATATAAAAGTTGTTATCGCTGGTTCAGAGTTGAAAAGGGACGAAGTCCGTTAGAGTATTAAGATAAAGATTCCGAGCTAATAATGAGAGAAGGAGAGTATCGATAATAATAATCTAAGAAATCAGCGATCTCCTTCGAGCTCGACGTTTATATTATACCAGCACATTGTTTTCTTCTCACCTCGAATACGAAATACATTATTATTATTCTATCCCATTAAGCAACTGGTTTGATTAATATTTCTTCTCTCTCTCTCTCTCTCTCTCTCTCTCATACGGAGAGAACAGAGAGACGGTTGCAAAACATTTAAAATAATATCTGTGATTCAAAAAAGTTTGAAATATAAGTGTAATTTAAGAAATTTTAATTTTAATTTGTATTTAGTTTTTCTTAATTTATAAAATTTTTGCACATAAGTAGGTATTAAACTGCCTTTTTCTCAATAAAATATCGTAAATTTAAGAAGACTTATAGCTAATGGTATAAAATGATAAATAACCTGTTTCGGTTTAAAAAATTTATTAAAAAATTTAAAATTACATAAAAAATATAAAAATAAAACTTACTTGTTATATTATTATTAAAACTAGATGTGTAGTACACGAAATTTGTGTGGCTAATAAATTGTTTATTCAGATAGCCAAGCGTTTCTTGGTATAAGAATGAAAATCGTTATTTGGCACAAGTTTTCATTCAATTGTCAATATGTTGCTATCATATTCGAGATAACAGTAATTTCGTTTAGGTTAACATAAAGGCAACTAATTGAATTAAGATTTTAAGCAGAAACTGTTTTTGTCAAGTTGCTCTGTAATTTTCAGTAATCGTTTATATAATCGGTTCTTAAGAAAGTAACAGTTGCTCTCAAGTTGCTCACAATTATCGATAGCAAGAACAATCGACAATCTAATAGGCCAAGTCGGAAGTCGTTTATGCTGTAGAAATATTTAATGATCGCATTCCGTATTAAGTTTTTATGCACAAAATAATTTTTTAAAATTAATTATATGTTTTCCTTATACTAATTGATTGGTCTTATTATTCTGTGCATAAAGGTATTAAAGTTACCGAAAACTGAATGTTTCACAAGATATATATTTTATATGTAAAAAGATTGTAAACTTTAGGTCTTATAACTCAAAAAGTACTTAAAAGAAAAGTTTTTTTATTATAGTGTTTTGGAAAACTTTCAAGATAAGCTACAACAGTATGCAATAAACAGTAGGGGGTGCCATTTAAAAATTGAAAGTGACTTTCACATGACCTTCAAATGATTATCTAAGATTAAACCAATTATACCATCTTATAGTCCACTTGAAGCCATACAACTTTTGTTTGATACATTTTTCTCTGAAATGCTTTGTTTCCGAGATACAAGTTTGTAACTCTTCATTTTGAACACTTAATATATATATATATATATATATATATATAGTTACAAACTTGCATCTCGAAAACAAAGCATTTCAGAGAAAAATGTATCAAACAAAAGTTGTATGGCTTTAAGTGGACCATAAGATGGTATAAATATATATAATATATATGTATATATTTATACCATCTTATGGTCCACTTAAAGCCATACAACTTTTGTTTGATACATTTTTCTCTGAAATGCTTTGTTTTCGAGATGCAAGTTTGTAACTATATATATATATATATATATATATTAAGTGTTCAAAATGAAGAGTTACAAACTTGTATCTCGGAAACAAAGCATTTCAGAGAAAAATGTATCAAACAAAAGTTGTATGGCTTCAAGTGGACTATAAGATGGTATAATTGGTTTAATCTTAGATAATCATTTGAAGGTCATGTGAAAGTCACTTTCAATTTTTTAAATGGCACCCCCTACTGTTTATTGCATACTCTTGTAGCTTATCTTGAAAGTTTTCCAAAACACTATAATAAAAAAACTTTTCTTTTAAGTACTTTTTGAGTTATAAGACCTAAAGTTTACAATCTTTTTACATATAAAATATATATCTTGTGAAACATTCAGTTTTCGGTATATAATATATATGTATATATTTATACCATCTTATGGTCCACTTAAAGCCATACATCTTTTGTTTGATGGTATAAATATATATCCCAGCAAACACAGTATATAAATGTTATATACTTAAGCATCTTACATGTAACGTATATGTTAGTTATAATTTCCCACTCATAGATGTAACATTTTTAATATTACATATATTACATTGTAGTTATATAGTCATTATATCCCAAGATACCACTGACTTATCAATACATCAATGTGCTATTTGGTATATAATTACAATATAACTACAATGTAATATATGTTATATTAAAATGTTACATCTATGAGTGGGAAATTACAACTAACATCGATGTTACATGTAACGTACACGTTATATTACCTGTTATATTCCATTTTATTATAGCAATGTAATAATTATATATCGGTGTTTGCTAGGATATATATATATATATATATATATATATAAATATATAATATGTCTTTATTAGAATTAGAAATATTTTTTATAACAATAAAGCACAATATATTGTATAGCTTTCATGCAAGATTATTTTTTGAGAGAAGGAAAAGGTTTAAAAATTTAAATCATTAATTTGACTTAATTATATATGCACCGTAAGACAAATTTTTTATGTGAAATTTTAAATTAAATCCTTTAAAGAAACGTCGACATCAAAATATAATATTGTAAATTTATTTTCGATTTTAATTATAAGGTATAATATTAAATTGCGATTAATCGTTGATTTTTGATCTGTGATAAAACTCTTTTTTAACACTCAGTAACATTCGAATTCAATCCCATCAGACGAATCTGTCGTGTGACAGTTTTCGTCATTGCAAAGGTTTGACTCGTCCTCATAGATTCCTCAGATATAGTATTTAAGTCGATCTTTCGAGTCGTGTCGAATCCGAATCGTTTCAGTAACATAAACTTAATTTTCTTCTTCCATACAAATATGATAAAGGTACAGAAACTCTGCACTACATCTAACAAACCACTAACACAAGTAATGTAATAATAATAATCAGTTAAGTATGCAAACCACCACGATGTTGTAAGAATAGACCAATTTATACCCATCATGATAAACATCAGCATAAATAATTTCATATAGAGATTAAACCTGCAAACAAATGTAGTAATATTTTTAGTCATCTTTCAATAAAAATAATAAATTATATTTTACCAAATTATTAAATTGAAAAATGATGGAACAAATTACAATTCTAAAAAAGAGGGAAATAAAAAATAATTATTTAAAGAAATTCTTTAAAAATGTATTTTTTATGAAATTAAAGTATATTCGTTTATTCTCACTATTTACGACATTTCGAGAATTGCAGACTTTCTCGAAAAGACACGATTCAAGTTACAGTAATAAATGTTTTTCTTTTCTTATAAATTATGTATTACATAACAGAAAAAATGAAAAAAAACAAAATAGTAAAGAATGAATACTGTGAAAATGTATTGGTTTCAAATAATCATCTCTCTCTTTCTGGAATGGAAGGAATCTGGAATACTAATCAAGCAATTATGTGATGTTGCCAGCATAGATATTGACAAAAATGTATTTCCATAAATCTCATTAAGGCTCTTTGATCCTCGCCGCGACTATGTTGGATTGTGATGTCAGAAGCGAGATAATACATGCTGAAAATTTTTGCGTGCCATTTTTAGATAAAAAAATATTTCAATGAACCGACCCTACAAAATTCTTTGGCACATTTGCAAGAAGGGTCAAAAATTAACATTTTTTCTTGACAATCAATCAACAGCCGTAAAATAATTGAAACATCAGACATCGTTATGCGGAATAATTGCGCATGTATAAAGACTAGACGGACTGGGCCTCATCCCAGATCGCACACATTCGTTTCAGAAACGTTTCATAACTGACTCTCGAAAACATTTTTTATTATAATGTCTACTTAGTTATAATGTCCACTTAAAACATATTAAGAAAAACGTTTATTTTTGAGTTTAAGAAGCGTTCAAAGTATCATTTTTTCTTACCGTTTTATACACTTTATTAATGAATTTGTAATAATATAATATGCCCGCTATGTCCGCTCCTAAATCATATGGTTCAATAATTTTTACAACGCTGATATATTTTCTGCAAAGTTAATAAAACATTTATAAAATATTGCAAAATAGTTCTTCTATTTTATTTTCTTTATTTATTTGGACATTTTTTTGTCTGATTTTTAAATAATCAGTTTAATATTTAAGATCCCTGTTAGGATTGTATCCAAAAAATTAAACTGATAAAAATAATTGATTGTAAATATGATGTTTTTTTAAATCGGCCAACAAAGCCAAAGCACGAAAAATTAATTATTCGGAACTGTATCTCTTGGTTTGAGATCACTAAGTTCCATATATAAATTAATCTCGAAACTTACATATGGAAAAATAGGCGCGAAAAAATATAGGTCCGAAAAGTCGCTGAAGCGGGAATCGAACCCGCGTCTTTCACTTTCCGGGCGACTGCTCTTACCAACTAAGCTATTCAGACCCTTTTAATAAAAATATTTCTTTCTGATTTTATTCAGGCCTTGGCCTAATCACGGCGTTATTTACTAACATCTACTAAAAGGCAAATGAAAAATATAGGATCGAAAGGGTCTGAATAGCTTAGTTGGTAAGAGCAGTCGCCCGGAAAGTGAAAGACGCGGGTTCGATTTCCGCTTCAGCGACTTTTTGGACCTATATTTTTCGCGCCTATTTTTCCATATGTAAGTTTCGAGATTAATTTATATATGGAACTTAGTGATCTCAAACCAAGAGATACAGTTCCGAATAATTAATTTTTCGTGTTTTGGCTTTGTTGGCCGATTTAAGAAACATGAAAGTTGTCTTGTCATATCGACAATCTGTTAGCTACTGTAGACCAGTATTATGTTTCTTGACACGAGTGTCATCAGATGTAATGATAGGAGACTGATCACTAATTGGTATAGGAAGCCTACTTTTTCGGGAAGATATATCAATTTTCTTTCCGCGCACCCATTCAAATATAAAATTAATTGCATTAACAACTTAGTCGATAGAGCTATTCTACTGTCTGACAATAAATTTCATAGTGACAATATTCAAATTATTAAAGACATTCTAACCAATAATAATTTTCCATCGTATGTTATTAAAAAACATATTAAAAAAAGATTACATGTAATTAATAATATTACTAATAGTTTTGACAACAAGAGAGATGAAAATAACAATAAAAAATTTGACATGTCTTTACATATTATGTTACCGTATATCAATAATCTGACTGATAACATTTCTAAAACTCTTAAGAAAAAAGGATTAAAAATAATTTATAAGACAAATAATAATCCTTAAGGTTCGCCAGTAATAATTAATAAAAATCTCTCCTCAAAGTTAAAAGTCGACCAGACTGGCAATCATTTATTATAAATAATTAGTTGAAATACAACGTTTCGGCTGTCATTGCAGCCCTTTTCAAGTAAATCTATAAAAAGTTACATAAAAATAATTATAATTTTAAAACACTTCATCGCTACAAATAATTATACATTCAACTACAAAAATATGTTACATACCAAATTAATACAGTAAATCATATTCAATGCAAACGACCGACAATATTCACCATTGTTTTGATGAACAATGTAGAACTGACAGAAGTAAGCAAGAAATAAATAGATGTTAACTGTTAGTAAGAATCTTAGTCACTACGCGTTAAGAAAATAGAGACAAAACTAATGTGTCTTTCGCAATCTAAAACGTCATCACAAAGTCAAATAAATAAATAAACAAAAGACGTAGGGCGATTAAATTTGGCGGTAATCTTAGCTCATCCAACCAAAATAAATTTGATGCGCGAAATAGTATAGTGTTACCGTACATTAGAGATTTGAGCGAGAATATTACGCGTTGCATTAATAAAAATGGAATTGATGTATTATATACCGTTCCAAAAAAATTAGACACACTGATAAAAAAGGAAAAGATAGGGTTGACAACTTAAAAAGAACCGATGTTGTGTATAAAATTGAATGTGCAAATTGTGATTCTACGTATATTGGACAGACAAAGAGACATTTAGAAACGCGCATCAAAGAACATAGAAATAATATCAAAAAAGACACGACATTGCATTCTGTCGTTAGTTTGCATCGGACTTGCAACGATCATGAGTTCCGTTGGGATTCTCCGGTGATCTTGCATCAAGAAAAACAAACAAGAAAAAGAGAAATTGCAGAAATGTTTTATATAAGAAAACAACGTAAAAAAAAGCATTAATTTACAGAAAGATACGGAGAATTTTAGTGGGATTTATAATCGTGTTCTTGACGCTATTTAAATTATTTTTATTTTTATATTTACCTATTTATTTATTTATTTGACTTTGTGATGACGTTTTAGATTGCGAAAGACACATTAGTTTTGTCTCGATTTTCTTAACACGTCGTGACTAAGATTCTTGCTAACAGTTAACATCTATTTATTTCTTGCTTACTTCTGTCAGTTCTACATTGTTCATCAAAACAATGGTGAATATTGTCGGTCGTTTGCATTGAATTTGATTTACTGTATTAATTTGGTATACTGTATTAGGTAGCATATTTTTGTAGTTGAATGTATAATTATTTGTAGCGATGAAGTGTATTAAAATTATAATTATTTTTATGTAACTTTTTATAGATTTACTTGAAAAGGACTGCAATGACAGCCGAAACGTTGTATTTCAACTAATTATTTATAATAAATGATTGCCAGTCTGGTCGACTTTTAACTTTGAGGAGAGATTTTTAATAATTTATAAGATTCCAAAAAAATTAAACACGCTAATTAAACGTGGTAAAGATGTATTACCGAAGATGAATAAAACGAATGTAGTATATAGACTAGAATGTAATAATTGTGACGCATCGTATATAAGACAAACAAAAAGACATTTGATTTCTAGAGTAAAAAAACATCAGAATAATATAAAAAGATATGAAACAAGCCACTCGGTGGTCAGTAAACATAGAACCGAATACAATCATGACTTCCGATGGCTTGAGCCATGTATTTTACATATCGAGAAAAATAGACAAAAAGAGAGATCGCTGAAATGTTCTACATAAAAAGACAAACAAATAAAATTAATTTACAAATAGACACTGATAATCTTAGTCCTATTTATGACAACATTATTCAAATGATTTAAAAACATAATACTAGTCTACAGTAGCTAACAGATTATCGATATGACAGGACAACTTTCATGTTTCTATTTTTAATTAATGTAATTGCTGAATAAGAACAAGTATGTATTAATGTAATTTAGTGTTAATGTAATGTTAATTTCGCTTGCCAAATTATGTATTTTTGTATTCTAGCACTTGAAAAGGACCACAATGTGGGTCGAAACGTAGTGTGTACTTATTTTCAATAAATGAATAGCTAGTTTTTGGTCGAATTAAATTGCATCTTATTATTTGTTAAAATTTATCACTGGCGATCAACAATTAATTGTGAAGGTTTCTCATTGATGCTTAAATGGTTAACAAACTAGATACGTTTAGAAAACATTTTTGAAACGATTATGTGATACTTGGGATATTTCAGTCATTTTACAGCTGTTGATTGATTATAAAGGGAAAAGGTCAATTTTCGGACAATTTTACAAGTGTGCCGAAGCATTTTGTAGTGTTGGCTCATCGAAATATCTTTTATCCAAAAATGGTACGCAAAAATTTTTAGGGTGTACTTTCTCGCTTCTGACGTCACGATTTCGACATGGTCGATGAGGATCAAGGAACCTTAATATAATAAAAGATGATCACATTATTAAGTAGAGAGTTGTAGATAGCGATGAAGACGCTCTCCTCTCAGAGCATTAGATTGGATTATGGATACATATATATAGACACATGTGTGCGATACATTATATTATGTACTGTAAGAGATTATAATAAATAGCATACAAAGCATACAAACATTACACACACAGCGATGCAAAAATGTCAGAATACTCACCATATCTTATTATCATTATATCGCTTGCTTTCCGAATTTGTTAGATGAAAGTTTGCATCCTTTTCGCAGCGTTTGATATTCAGTGTCGTAGAGATGGATAAACAAACGCTACTAATGGTACAGGCTGTTTCGATCCAGTAAAAATACAACACATACGCTCCTTTATCTATAAATATGTCATACAATTTTATACTATTATAAACTTTTTTAAATGCGTAGCACATATTAATAAAGTTATTTGAAACGTACTTTCAGCATTAAACCAGCAATTTCCCCTTTCTAATTCTGCCCTCAAAATTTTTGGTATATACTCGGAAACAAACTCCACGATAATGACACAAACAATAGCAAGTATAAGTGGACAACCGTACGCAAAAATCACATAATATATCAATTTTTTATTTCCCGATCGTCCGATGTTTTTTCGTAACGAAGAGAATTCTCTGCAATTTACATGCCATATTTAACTACATAAGTATAGGTACAAGAATGTAAAAGATTTAAATTAATGTTTGTCTTTGATCGAGATTTTCTGGAAAACCTATTTTACGTAACTATAAAAATATATTTTGTGCAACCGGCGCGCGAAAAGTCACCCTTTACGCACATAATGGGATTTTATAAAGGGCTCCCTTTCCACGCACCCATCACACAAAATATTGTAGCCAACATGTGCGGCCGATCGTGCGAATTGTCACACTCGGCTTCGCCTCGTGCGCCAAACTTCCGCATTCTCGGCCGATTTACGATCTCTCGCACTTGTTAGCTAATGTACTGTATACATAATACGGCACACAACACATGACACTCAATTATGATGAGGAATGTAACATATAGTATGACATTTAGAAACTATTATAAAATTACATAAATATTCTACAGACAAAGGTAATCTAAATTTTTATTTAGTTTCAGAGGTAAAAATATATTTATGTCAAAAATGATCGTGTATTGCTTTATTTTATAGATAAAAAAAGAATATCGAGGTATAAATATCAAGCTCGTATAATGTAAAAAATATTTGTAAAAAAAGTTTGTTTCAATAATGCAAATTAGACTACGTTATTTTATAAATGTTTTATAAATATTTTATAAAATAAAAATTTTTGAAAATCAAAAAGACAAAGAGGCTCGTATCATACAACGCAATAAATAAAAATAATGAAAGACTAACTTACGAGCATACAAATATGTGCAATATAATAATATCAATATAATATTCAATTTAATGTGCAATATAATAAAAACAATTTTATTTATAAATCATAAACTTAAATTCTTATATAAACTTAGAGTTTGAACTTAAATTCTTTAAATAATTAACTCAAAAGGCTCGTAAAATTAAAATCACAAATAGAAAAAGGGGGACTGAAAGCCGAAGCCGTTGTTGTGGCCAAAGATTTTTATTTATTATAATACAAAGTATTAAGTAACACAAACGTTTCGGTCTTATTTAGACCATCTTCAGTATGAAATTAAATATTGTTACAATGGATAAGACGCATATTATAACAGAATTCGTATACGCAACTGTTTTGTAGGAAAAATATTATCTTTAAGTATTTGCGACTGATTGTGAGTTAATGACAAAAAGTAAGACTGTAACGGTAATTTAATCGAAGATAAGTTAAAAATTAAAATTAATTAAACATAGAAGAAACAAAAAAAAATAAAAAGTAAAATTTCTTATACATACATAAAAAGAGCAGAGTCATAGTTCTATTCGTGCTTATTGTCTAATAGTCAACAGATACAATCGGTGTGAAAACAACTAATGAAACTGAGAGATGTCTGACAAACCTTTATAAAGAAACGGTGCTGCGAGTGAGAGGAGACAGGGGAAGAAGGATCCTGTCTGTAATTCCGTACATTGGTCTCTAGTTCAGGCAATGGGGAGTTTCAAATGGTATTAAGTCGGGAAGTTTTGAAAATTGGTGAAGTTATAGATTTTTGTAATTCTAACAACATACTAAATTTGCTACCTTGACATTTTTCCTCCGGTGACACCAGCTTGGTAAAATGGCAATTACATTTTTTCTAGATACAAAAAAAATACTTCACTTTCGTAGGGCTGTTTCACTGAAACTATTGATTATACGAAAAAATTATGTAGCAAATTTTATTCTTTCTTTTTCATAATAACTATTTTTGCGCTAGAATGCATGAGAGCCGAGATATTTTGAAAAAACCTGTTTTTGCCGTCATTTTATCAAACTGGTGGCATTGGCGGAAAAATATCGAGATTGTAAATTTAGTATGTTCTTAGAGATACAAAAATCTAAAACCTCACCAATTTTCAAAACTTTCCGACTTAATTCCATGTAGACCTTTTTTCTCTCCATTACCTGGATTACTCAACAAAAAACAATAACTCTAAAAAATTTAAAGGCATTTTAATATTTATTATTATTATATTTTTAAGCTCTTATTTAAATTATACTTTTTTAAATAGTTTTTAAGTTATAAAGACATATTTTGAAGAGCACGTAGGGTTAATTGAGACGATTGGCCCAATTTACCCCATATTAGTGTGGCTTTATATGAAATGTTAATTTTAATGTTATTTATTTATTTTGGAATGCATACTGTTTAAACATTTATATATTTAAATTGTATAACTCGGAATTATGTATTTGCTATGCAATCTATGCGTTCTATGCATTTTCGTTTCATCGCCGTCCCTTGATTCTTTAAACAAATTCTCAAGAACGCCTCGCAATCGTTCGGATCCGAGTCGAGCGCATTTACCTTTTTTTGGTCGCTCGCGTCTTACCGCGTTCCTCCTTACCCCTCGACTGTCTAATCAGCTGTTTGTTATCAAAACACTCAAATTCTTGACACATTTAGGAAAACTGATCTATAGTCTATGTACGACCGCTTTTGCGAATACATCAAAACTCTATTTTTTGCTCTTTGTCCGCGCAACTTCGTTTTTCGAGGCATATAATTACTGTAAATTTTTGTAGTTATACTAAATAAACAGTTTTTTTTCTAACTCAATTCGATCTGAATGCAATTCTATTCTCGCGCCGAAATCCACTCACAATTAGTTATCCAGTAAACACATACATACAGGTATAAATAAAAAATTAACAGATAGATTTTTACTTTAAATTGAACAGTTGTTTTATTTTTTGTTTTGAAGTTATGTGACAATATGTTATATTTCATTGAAAAAATGTGAAACATTGTCAAATTTGACAATGTTTTATACAAGGTATCTCATAGCAAACCTTTTAATGGCAGATTCCTGGGATTATTTAGAGATGATTTTTTTTCAACGAAAATGTCGAGACATCAATAATTTCAAGTTATAAGCGATTTAAAAAAGGGGTTTTTCGCCAACTAAGCCTTGTGAAAATAAAATATTAACACAATCACATTCTATTATTAATTTCATGTAGAGTTTACTTTAACTAGACAACACAAACGCGCGCTTCGCGCGCGCCATTATCCGTTTTTTTGTAATGTATGTGTGTATGTGTGTGAGATTTAATTTTTTAATAATTGTAATTTTATTTAATTTTATTTTGACAACTGTCAAACTGTTAAGCCTCTCAACAGCTGCTCGATGCTTGAATATAACACATAACAACAGCGAATCGAGACAGCCAATCAGCATCGCAGAAAAGCGACGACAATGTCAATAACATGCCTTTTTTAGAAAGAGGATAGAATTTTAAACAATGATAAATTATTAAATTAAGGCCATGTGTAACGAGCAATACGATATTATTTTATTATTGAGAAGAAAATTCTTAATTTGAAATAATAATTATACAAACGTTTCGAGCTCTACTTGCTCCTCTTCAGTGCGCAAAAAAATAGTGATAATAAATAACGATAATAAATAAATACATAAAATTCTAATAAAATCCGCAATACATAGTCAATATAAGTTATATAGTTGAGTCATAGTTAAAACGCAAAATATATTTACAATGAATTGAGACCATTAAAATAGTTCAACAAAGTAAGAACCCAATTAGAAGCAGAATGATTCGTCCGGTTATTCATAAAATATATTATAATTATTAATAAAAACTTGGAGTGACACTTATACATTACTCCAAATGAACCACTTATCGTTATTTGACGAAAGTCCCTCGATCTGGTAATGATTATGTTCATCCTCTCCAAATTATTTGATATTTGTTAACTGAATTTAAAGAATTTATTCAATTGTAAAATAGGATTCCACTAATGTGTATGTGAAAAAAGATTAAAAATTATAAATTAAACTAACTACTAAAATATTGAACCTTTATGCTTACAAATTGTTCCGAATAACTTGAGATGACGATGCTTCTAATTGTTGTTGGCCTTATTGTTAGTACTTGACTGTTGTCTAGTCTTTTAAAAAGTCGAATAAATAGGTGTCAGATCTCACAAAATAAACATTTACATAAGTCTAAAAATTCGATATTTCTTCTAGAATGTCGAAATACGCGTTGTTAAGCAATTCGGTGTCTGTGTTATTATTTATACCATGCCTTTGTTCCTTGATGTGTATCATTTCCGAGATAAGTCTTTTATAATAATTAGATTCAATATCAAGTATTTTAACGTTATCCCAATCAAAAGCATGTTTTTTATCCATAATATGTTCAGAGATCACAGAATGCTTGGAGGAATCAAATTTAATATTATTCATATGCTCTTTTAGTCTAGTGCGTAATTTTCTTGGTTTGCCCAACATACGAAGCTTCACAATAAAAAAATTAGATTTCAGTAGATACCGTTATCTATTATTCTTGCACGTTTTTGTCCTTGTGGACAAAAATTGTTAAGAATATTAGATAACGTTGTCTACAAAATTAATTTTAAGGATTGTGATGCTTGTCTCAGAAATGTTATTAAGTATGGAAATGACGAAAAAGAAGCATATGAATAATATTAAATTTGATTCCTCCAAGCATTCTGTGATCTCTGAACATATTATGGATAAAAAACATGCTTTTGATTGGGATAACGTTAAAATACTTGATATTGAATCTAATTATTATAAAAGACTTATCTCGGAAATGATACACATCAAGGAACAAAGGCATGGTATAAATAATAACACAGACACCGAATTGCTTAACAACGCGTATTTCGACATTCTAGAAGAAATATCGAATTTTTAGACTTATGTAAATGTTTATTTTGTGAGATCTGACACCTATTTATTCGACTTTTTAAAAGACTAGACAACAGTCAAGTACTAACAATAAGGCCAACAACAATTAGAAGCATCGTCATCTCAAGTTATTCGGAACAATTTGTAAGCATAAAGGTTCAATATTTTAGTAGTTAGTTTAATTTATAATTTTTAATCTTTTTTTCACATACACATTAGTGGAATCCTATTTTACAATTGAATAAATTCTTTAAATTCAGTTAACAAATATCAAATAATTTGGAGAGGATGAACATAATCATTACCAGATCGAGGGACTTTCGTCAAATAACGATAAGTGGTTCATTTGGAGTAATGTATAAGTGTCACTCCAAGTTTTTATTAATAATTATAATATATTTTATGAATAACCGGACGAATCATTCTGCTTCTAATTGGGTTCTTACTTTGTTGAACTATTTTAATGGTCTCAATTCATTGTAAATATATTTTGCGTTTTAACTATGACTCAACTATATAACTTATATTGACTATGTATTGCGGATTTTATTAGAATTTTATGTATTTATTTATTATCGTTATTTATTATCACTATTTTTTTGCGCACTGAAGAGGAGCAAGTAGAGCTCGAAACGTTTGTATAATTATTATTTCAAATTAAGAATTTTCTTCTCAATAATAAAATAATATCGTATTGCTCGTTACACATGGCCTTAATTTAATAATTTATCATTGTTTTTATTGTCATACGAGCTTGAGCATTGGTATGTGATGTTTTGATTAGGTATTAATTTTGCATTGATAGAATTTTAATTTAAGGCTTAATTACGAAGATACATGACAAAAATTATATAGAAACATGCAAGAAATGATGGCTTTTCCCAACATTTTCGCTGAGAAAAAATCCAAATAATCCCAGGAATCTGCCATTAAAAAATTTGTTATTAATTTTGGGACATCCTGTATAATCTTATTAAAGTTCAGTAATGTTTATCATTTATTTTGAGTAGTTCCTGTTGTTCACCTCTTTGCCTAACATATCTCATACGCTGACTCAACCTGTCCCGCTAGTGGGGACAATGAGTAACTCTGACAATTTTTACTTAAAATTTATTTTTTCTGTTCTCGATGTATATTTAAATGTTAAAACCTTTTATTTAATATTATATTTATAATTATATTATAAATAGATAAATTTTTATAAAACTTCAAAGCAAAAGTTGCTCAACTAGTCCCGCTCTACACTAAAATATAAAATACTTAGTAATTTACCTGAATGTTCGCCACATATAAAAACTCATGGTAATTAGCCAGAAGTACGTCGACACAAGAAAAAAATATTCCAAAAAAGCTGAAAAATAAATATAAATGAAGGCTATAATAATAAATATCATTTTCATCACTATGTATGGTGCATGGTTGCGTGCGTATGCGTGCGTACAGGGTGTTCTATTGTAACTTAGCCATATAAATATTTCTAAAAATATCCAGAAAAACGGTTCGAACAAAAGCTGTTTGATTGAAAGAAGACATAAGATGGTGCCATTGTGTGTGGTTTAACCTTGATTAGTTATTTGAAGGTTACATAAAAGTCTCTTACAATTTTTTATTATGAACCTTCCATTTTATTGCATATTCTTTTAGCTTATCTCAAGAGTATCCCAAGACTCTATAATCAAATATATTTTTATTAAATATTTTTCGAGTTATAAAAGTTAACAGTTTTTTTAAATAAAATGTAAAATATCTTGTAAAATTTTCAATTTTTAGTAATCTTATCTTCATACTTTATGTACGGAATAATGACACCAATCAATTATTGCAAAAAAAAAAACACATAGTTGCTTTTAAGAAAAAGTATTCAGCTGCATGTTGCAAATTATTTTTTTTTTTTAAACAATTATCCGTTTTCTTTTTACCTTGGTCTTATTTTGAGCCTTTACTATTTTGAGCATAAAAGTATTAATGTAAGATTACCAAAACTTTTACAAGATATTTCATATTTTATGTCAAAAAATTGTTATTTTCAAACTTTCTAATTTGAAAAATATTTAATAAAAATATATGTACTTTTCATTATAGTGTTTTGGAAAACTCTTGAAATAAGCTAGAAGAATATGCAATATAAAATAGGGGTTCATAATAAAAAAACCGAAAGTGATCTTCACGCGATATTCAAGACTATTCAAGGTCAAATCAGTGGCACCATCTTATGGTCCCCTTCGAACCAAACAACTTTTCTTCGAAACATTTTTCGTATCCTTCATATTTTTCGAGATTTTTTCGAGAATGTCTAACAAGTAAAGTTATTTTTCTGTTACTCGCCGATTTTGATGAAACTCGGTATACTTGTACAGTAGTAAAAAAATAATAGACACGTATTTTTTTATATTGGCAATGGTGCATTTTTAAGGTTCGCGCAACCAATTTATGTTCTGAAAAATCTATTTTTTCTCGCTTTTTGCCGAATCCAGGAATAACCGATGAGAAGGTGGCGAGAATCTATTCCTACTATTTCTTTTTGTATTTTTATTAATTATTATTTTTATTTTTATTTTTTTAATTAAAAAAAATTTTTAAATAAAAGTTTTAATATTTTAATTTTTTTTAATTGTTTTAAAATTATCTATAATCATGTCATTTCTCGCTAATTTTTTCATTTTTATAATTTTCGAAAATGATATATAAAAAAATTTTTCATACATAACGATTTTTTACACCAAGCACACTTTATGATTGCTATATTGTTGCATAATGCACATGTATTTTTACATTTTTTTAAACAATAATCTACGGGATTATCTAACTTACTATAAGTGGTATCTCTTGTAAGTAGTCACTTTTGTACCATGAATACTTGAATAAATTTATAAATTTATATAAAATTTAAAAATTGTGAAGATACATGTGCATTATGCAACAATATAGCAATCATAAAATTAATCTGGTGTGAAAATTCGTTATGTATAAAAGATTTTTTTTATATATCATTTCTGCGAAAATTATAAAAATAAAAAAAAATAAGCGAGAAGTGACGTGATTATAGATAACATAAAAAAAATATTTTAAATTAAAATATTAAAATTTTTAAATTAAAAAAAAATAGATAATAAAAAAACAACAAAAATAGTGGGAATAGATTCTCGCCATCTTCTCGTCGGTTATTCCTGGGTTCGGCAAAGAGCGAGAAAAAATGGATTTTTTAGAACATAATATTAATTGCACAAACCTTAAAAGTGCACCATTGCCGATATAAAAAAATACGTGTCTATTATTTTTGATTACTGTACAAGTATACCGAGTTTCATCAAAATCGGCGAGTAACAAAAAGGTAACTTTATTTGTAAGATAAAATAGGACTTTATATATATTGAAGCAAACTTAGATTAGTCATAATAAAAATTCATTAAATTTTAATTTAATTCATTATTAATAATTGTATTTTTAACAAGTGTTATGTATTCAATTAGGAAAAAGATAAATTAATATGCAAATGTACATGATGCTTAATAAATATGTACGCTACATTGATTGTATATATTTATATATAATTTATTGTTAGATATACTGTACCAAGTATAATACAGACGGGATATGACACTTCCATTTTTAGATATATAATAAATTTCACAGCTTTAAATATGAGTGCAACGGATGAAGTAAAGCTGTAATTGCACAACATAAAACCGTATACATTTCGAAGTTTTGGCAATATGGAATACACTAGAAATATTGGCATCAAAAATAATAGACACACTAATTCCAGGATGGCATATATCTTTTCTTTATCATTTTCTATGATATACTTAGGTGGACAGAAAATCACTTCGAACTTTTTCCCTTTGTTCAAGGAAACGGTAAGACAATATGATGTTGATTTAAATAATGTTTTATAATATGATAAATAAATAGAACCATTGGTAAAAATCTTATAATCGTATTGATGACCCTCGTCTACCACAAAACTTTGCGTTTCCAAGCATGAATTGTAGACAGCTAAATAAAAGATTTCGTTTACTCTCTTACTTTCATTCTGCATTGAATCATTCATGTATTCGTACACATTCGGAAAAACGTATTCAATGTCTTCTGGAATGCATTCTCTGTCATCCCACTTCATGCTATTGCCAAGAGGACAGCAGAGCAGAATGCAAGTAATATTATAACACAATTCGAATGGAACAATGTTACTTTCATTACTACTTTTATCTAAATTTTCAAAGACTTCATTCGACATGGAATCATTCTTTTGAATCAAGTTTTCATAAACTTCCTGTGATGTAAAGTTTTTTTTATTATTGACATTTGTCGAATTGATATGTATTATCGAATCAGCATCCTTGCGATCATTATTCGTAGAAATAGTACGAAATTCATACTCCATTTCGTTGTATTGCGCATTGTTGGCAAACTTTTCATACAAATCATATCGTAGTGTTTTTATCTCGTTGTTATAAACTGTTGTAGAATCCGTGTCTACCTCGTGTCGTACCGTCAAATTATGACTTTTCTCTTCGTTGTTGGTGTAATTTTGCTGAGATTTCGATGACGAAATAATAATTAAAAATCCGCAACATAAAAACCCAAAATGTTTAATAAGCATTATTTCAGAAAAGGATATACTAGAGAAATTAGATAATAAAATCTTCAAATAAGATAATGGAATCTTCTGTTAGAGTATTCATTATTTCTCACATAAATTTTAATTTTTATTAATAAAAAATTCTATATTAAATTTGTCTATTTTAGCTTTTGTATTAATTATATGAAAGATATGTGTTAAGTGCATAATATACACATATAATAAAACCAAATTATCTTTTTCTTTTGTATTTCTCTAAAAATGTATAATCATTCGTTTGATTTTATTCGAACACTGTTAATGTAGACGGTTACGCGGTTGAATTTTAATTATCTCACTAGGTTTAATAACCATATATAATGTATCACAATATTCGGTTTTGACGTCTTTTTTTGAAGGAAAAAAACAATGAACAAGAACCATGTGCCTGTACGAGAGAGAAATTGAAACTACTGCGGATGGCGAATGATCGAGCTTCACGAGAAAACACACACATACACGCTGTGTATTTATAGATAATAGTATACTATTATGAAATAATACACCTATGACTTTTACATAATGAAAACAAAGAACGTAGGTGTGCTGAAATTTCTGACGGTATAGTTTGATCGATCCAACCGTGAAATAAAATGAACTTTTGTTTTTTTAGATATTTGACACTTAAATGAGGAGCCATTATATTTTCAAGAATATGATTAAAATAAAGAATAAATTTACATGCAGCAACAGTTACATAACATAATATTTTTTAGTTAATATCTATTTCTAAAATATATATTATATTAATTTCTAATTTTATTTAACTTGTTAAGCTGTTTATTTGTGAATATATGTATAAAAGGAACTTTTATACAGAGTGTTTCATTTTAAATGACGACTTCAAATATTTCCCGAAAAATACACAAAAAATGTTTTAAGTAAAAGTTATTTGACTCGAAGAGGGATATAAGATGGTGCCATTGATTCGACCTTGAAAAGTCATTTGAAGGTTACGTGAAAGACAACTTCAATTTCTTAAATAGAACTACCTATTTTTCATTACATATATTCTTGTAGATTATTTCAAAAGCTTTACAAAACCCTATAATAAAGTATGTTTTCAAAGAGTATTTTTTGAGTTAAACAGGTTTGAAGTTAACAATTTTTTGACATAAAATGTAAAATATCTTGTAAAATCAGTTTTCGGTACTTTTTTTGACGGAATAATTAACTGATAAAAGAAAACAGATAAATGATAAATGTTCATAAAAATAATGTAATATTCAACATGCAGCTGCATACTTTTTTTTATAAGCAGCTATGTTTTTTTACACCAACTGATTGGTCTCATTATTCCGTGCAAAACGGAAGTATCATAACATGTTTTGAAGGACTATAACATATATTGAATTATAATTAAATGTTATACCAACCTTCAAAACATGTTATGATTTGAGAGATTCGTGCACTTTAAAACAAAAGTTATGCTGAAAAAAATCAAAAGGTGATTTAATTTTGGCCGATACTGTATACATTGATGGGACGTTTCGCATCAAGCGGGTCACCTCTCCTTCCAAAAATTAACGCAATGGAAAAAATTGTTTAAGGTCTCAAAAGAATTCATACATTTGTATACTTTCGAAAGAATCGTGATTTTTTTTTTAAATTTAATATGATAGTGATTCCAATATGGCTCCTAAAATCCGTAAAAGTTACGAATAATCGTACAATATCTTTAATTAAAATGCAAAAATTTAACAAATCAACTTGAAAATAATGGAGTATAAAATTTTCGAGGTCATTGTGAATCTGAAAAAAATTATAAAATTCAAAATGGCGGCCATAAGGTCAATGATCCTTGTCTAAGTAATTGAAAATTACTCGAATCGGCTTGAAAATAATTTCTAAAATTTTCGAAGTTGTTGATTACAAATCTGTAGTCAAATTTGCACATTTGAAAATGGCAAATTTAGTATGACGCCTTTTACTGCAAAAAAACAAATATTGCGAGTTGTTGATATTCTTCCAAACTGAGATTAAATTTTGACTTGTGTTGGCCATATTATAGGTCGATGGAAAATGAGTTAAAAGCCGTCAATACTAAATTTGCCATTTTTAATTTTGCAAATTTGACTTCAGATTTATATATATATAATCAACAACCTCGAAAACCTTAGAAATCATATTCAAGCCGATTCGAGTGATTTACCATTACTTTGATCATAGACTATATGGCTACCATTTTTTATATTTTTCTTTAGATTCACAATGAACGATCTCAAAAACTTTGTATTTAAAATATTATTTTCAAGTTGATTTGTTAAATTTTCGTAATTTAATTAAAAATATTGTACAAGCATTCGTAACTTTTACGGCCATATTAGAATCACTATATTGAACTTTTAAAAAGACCACATTCTTTTCGAAAGTATACAAATGTACGAATATTTTGAGACCTTAAGTTTTTTTTTCATTGCGTTAATTTTTGGAAGGAAAAGTGGCCTGTTTGACACAAAACGTCCCATATTTGATATAATTTATGTATGTGTATAAATATAAAGTACATATATCGACACGCTATATTGTAGTAATAGTAGAACATGAATTTTCTTACTATATTACTCTTTACCTTAACAATTCTATTAAATAAAATATAAGTTTGTTTCAACAAAATACTACTAATAGTATTTTGCGCAAAACGTTTTGCATTTTTACAGATTTCATTAACATAGCATTTTCAGTATTTAAGATAAAGGCCTATGACAGAGAACTAAATGTAAGTTCTTACGTTTGTCGTAATTGTAGACCTAAAGTAAGGCAGAGAAAAACGTATACGTAATACACGTAACTACATAAGTCGTGGGTGCAAAAAAGCATCGTGCACTTGTCGTACAGACGTATTACATATCGCCAGTTTCTCCAGTTGCACATCATCAATTTTTACAGTTTAGTTTAAATACATTATATAGAACGATGTGTTTAACTTTTCGTATAATTTTCGAGAATTATTTAAAGTATTTTGTGTTTAAATTTTAGATGGTTTTTTACGAAGGTATATTATAAAGACATAGTGGGCGTTGAATTTCGTAATGCCAAGGTTGAAGATTTAAAAGAGAGTAAAAAATATATGGAAGAATTCTGTGTCTTGCATGTCTAACAATAAGATGCATTATTTTCGTAAACAACAAAAAATCATAAGATATATTGACACAAGGCTTCGTCTGCATAAAAAAAGCATTCTCTGAATTTATTTACCTTATATGAACTTAATAGAAATTTGTATATACAAGATCTACGGTATGACTGAATGTATTTTAAACTAATATTAGAATACTCTATTAGTATATTTAATTTCAATTAATGTATTTATTTAACAATAAATATGTACATCTTTTAGCCAATACAATTTAACAGAAAGTTATTACAACAGAATGATTTTTAAACGTGTGACTGTACATATTTTTTTTTTGAAGATGGGATAAATAAAAAAAAACTCAAACAAGAACAGCGTTTGGAAGATGCAATTGTTATGATCTTACCATATCATCCGGATAAATTTATCATTAACTTGCTTATAGATAAATTCATAGACAATTTCGTGCAAGAAGTATTACAGTTTCTGAAAGCTGAAAATCCCACGCATCCAATATTTTCATTATCACCTAAACAATTTTCAATATGGAAAAATAATAATATTAATGAGAATTATTGGAGAAAAGAAAACGCAAAATCTATTAAGCGTACGTATTCTCGATAAAATTATTGTAAGTTTTGATTTTTATAAATCATTGATGGAACTGAACCAAATAGGAATAGACTTTTCTTCTGGCCGCGGGTGTGTTTTTTATATACATAGAATATTTTTTTATTATTTGTCATAAATTATATATATTAAAACTGTCATATATATTATAATAATTCTCTATTATGTTAAGATTATAACTATGTTTATTATATTTTCTTACACTTATTGTTCTTCGACAGTTTAAAAGAGAAAGATTAGAATATAAAAAATGATCTGGTGGATAATATTGTCGTGCGCCTCGAGTACGGCACAAGGGGTTGCGCCAAAAGAGAACAATCGCACTAAACGACGTGAAAGATATAAAAGAAATTTAGAAAATAAACGTGCTTGTTAAGGATAATGGAAGTAGGCACTCGAGAAATTAACTTGGAAACTTGGATTGAAATATTAGCGTATCTTTATTTGCACCAAAAATCGTTGACTCATGCGCGAGCAAGCACAGCTTGACTAAGACTGAACAAACTGAGAACACTTTCGGACTAACAAGATAAGATATACACACTCGCTGT